TCATAAACCTCAAAGTGGTGCTTTTTGAAAAAAATGTTTTCCTACAAATAGGTAGTTCTATTTAGGAATTCTAGTTTAAAAATGTGGGTAATTAAAAAACGTACGAGCAGTGTTACCAGAAAAACTGACATTTTTCATTTTAAAAAATTATAATAGTAAAATTTACCAGTTTTTTCCGCTGATTTATTCATAGATTCCTTTGATTACAACAATAATAAGTGTTTTTCTATACTTTAAGTAATGTTGTGATAAAAATGTTTGTAGTATCAATGTTGTCATTTTTCTGTTTTAGCGGTATTTTAAACCCTTTTAAGGCGAGTTTATAATAATTTCACTTTATACATACCAATTTCTCTCAGTGGTGTCACCAGTTGGACACAGCACCTTAACCTGCCTGGGAATGCCAATCCCTGAATAACACCCTCTCCTCCTTAACCACATCATGCAACATCCCTACCCCTTCTTGTCGGGACAAGTCAGGAATTATCGTGGAAAACTATAAACCTAATATGTGGTCGTGGTAGGGGTGGTGCCAGGATTCGCCCGACAAGAAGCCCTATGTCCCAGATGGTGGTCCGATTACAGCATTCAGAGAGTCTCGAGCAGATTTTTTAGAAAATGAATATCTTGGCACATTTTTGTTACATTACGGTGTTCCAAACACAAGCCAAGAACAGCAATAATGAAAGATGTAGTTTCATGGCTAAAGAGTGTGCTTCCTAAGTTTACATCTGTATATTTAAGACACAACAATGCTGGCTGCTACCACTGTACAACTACACTACTTGCAACAAAAGAAAATGCTGAAAAGGCGAGGGTAAATGTGCAAATTTTTGCAAACGAAGTTCATTTCATTGAAGATGGTTTTAAAATGAAACATGCTTTAGAATCAGATAGACAGTAAAAGGTTGTTCCTACCTTCTCAAATGCTGCAACATATGAGAAACTGCAATTGGGATGGTATAAGCCTCTTAATAATTTTGAATTTACAACTACAGGCAGGGGCGGATCCAGAAATGTCCAGGGGGGGGGGGGGGCGAAAGTTGGGCTGATCAAGACAATACTGTCCTAGGGGGTCCAGGGTTATGCCCCCGCAAAATGTTTGTGTTCTTGACGCCCAAAAATAATTTTAACTGTTTTTTGGTTTCAGGTTTAGGAAGATTTTGTATAACTTCAACCCCCTTTGGTCTAGGGGAAAGTTTCCCATAAGATACAACATGTCCTAAAAATTCGATACTATGGCAACCCATAATGCATTTGGTAGGTCGAGCAACTATATGGGAATCCCTTAGGCGACTTAACACAATATTGACCCTTTGTAAATGTTCTTCCCAAGTGTTTGAATAAATTAAAATGTCGTCAATATAATTGACAACCCCTTCCATATTCCGTACCAATATTCTCATCATGCGCGTAAATGTAGCTGGTGCGTTAACTAGCCTAAAGGGTAGAACCTTAAATTGAAATAAACCATCCGGTGTAATAAAAGCAGTAGGTTGCTTCTCCATAGGAATCTGCCAAAACCCCTTTGTCAAGTCAATCTTTGTGAAAAACTGAGAATAAGAAACTTTTATTCTTCAATATCAGGAATAGGTTCGGCATCAAAGACAGTTACTTTATTTAACAGCCGATAATCAACACAGAAACGATTGGACCCATCAGGCGTTTTAATTAAATCAATAGGACTGGCAAATGGACTATTAGATTCCTCAATTACCCCAATTCTCAGCATGGTTTTTACTTCCTCCCTTACTGAATCTCGTAAGGCATATGGTATCGGGTAAGGCCTTCCCTTGGGAAGTTCAGAAACAGTTAACTCAATTTTGTGTTCTATCAAGTGAGTGTATCCAGGCAAATCTTTCAAAACATCTGAAAAATCATTAATCAACAACTTCATATCATTCCGTTGACTACTTGACAAATTTTCACCTAACCTAATGTGACATGTGGATTTTGTCACTATGAAGTTATACCTATTTAAATGGGATATTCCAAATTCTAACCCCTATTTGGGATAATGGGTTAATCCCTTATCTTACTTTGCCATGGTAACCGGACCAAGAAAGTAAGTTTAAGCATTTGATTTGTCTTATACATTCTTTGTTTAGACTTGAGACTTAATGAGTTTTATTTATATTTTATCGTAGGGGTTTTGTGTACGTTCGCTTACGTCGCTATTGTTTATTGGTCAAAAGATGTTGCACTGCAATTAAAGAATCTTGAAATCATAGAAGCAAATTTGAGTGTCTTATTTTGCGTTCTACACTAACATCACTTACAAATTCTTTCTGTTCAAGAGGAACATGCTGCAAAAGAGATGAATTAGACAACTCCGACTCACAGGATACATTATCATCAGCATCAATAACAGCGGAGCAAACTTCCGAGGGATTAGGATTCGGAAACAACTCCTCTCGGTTCACATATTTTTTTAACAAGTTAATATGGAAGGTCTTCATTTTACCATCCAAATCAAGCGTGTAATTTACACGATTCACCTTCTTAACCACTTTATACGGACCCCTCCATTTTAAAAGCAACTTGTTGCTATCCGTAGGAAGCAATAACAAAGCTCTCTCACCCTCCTTCAACTCACGAGGTTTGGATTTTCTATCATAATATTTCTTATATCTATGGGAGGACTTTTTGAGTTCAGCCTGAGCTGCATCACAAGTTTCTTCAAGACGACTCTTTAAATCAAGGACATATTGGTAAAGTAGATTTTGTTTCAGTGGCTGGAGATTCATCAGTCATTAATTCCTTAAAATAATGGCAACTGGACTCCTCAACTTACGGCCGTAAAAGAGTTCAAAAGGCGAAAACCCTAGACTTTCCTGTGGGGCTTCCCTAACTGCGAACAGCAATGGCTCTAAGTACCTATCCCAATCCGCTGGTCTTCTTGGTACATTCTCTTTAGCATTTGCTTTAGCGTACCATTGAACTGTTCAACCAGACCATTTGCGGCAGGGTGGTAAGGGGTGGTAGTAATTTGTTTCACTGATAGTAATTTATTGACTTGGTTCATAAGCCCCGATGTAAACTGAGTGCCTTGATCGGTTAGCATGACTCTTGGAATACCTACTCTTGCAAAAATACCAACTTATGCTTCGGCTATGCGCTCCGCTTCTATACCTGGAAGGGGAACCGCCTCAGGGTATCGAGTGGCATAATCTATAACTGTCAAGATATATCTGTTTTTGCGACTTGTCATTGGGGCCAATGGACCAACAAGGTCAACAGCAATTTTATCAAATGGAGTATCTATTAATAGCATTTTCCAAGCGGGACCTTGCAAACCTTCCCTCTTTGAATGGTTCGCTGGCATGAATCACATGATTGGCAAAATCTGGTAACATCCGAGTTTATGCCGGGCCAATAAAAATGTTGCAATATTTTGAATTTTGTTTTACCTGCCCCTTGGTGTGACCTCCCAACAAACTCTCATGAGCAATTTTCATTACTTGATTTCTTTGTCTTTTCGGTTACACAACCTGTGTCAACACAGGCATTCCAGCAACCTTAGAAGAAGCATAATTATGCATTAATATGTCATCATCAACTGAAAACTAAACGGTTCCATATCTACCCGAATCTTTACGTCCCCCAATCCCTGCTAATTGCCAACATTTCTTAAGGGTCTCATAAGATTTTTGTTCACGTTTCAAATCACTTGGACCAGCAATATTAACCATGGGTGAAGTTTTAAGTATTTTAAATGGTTTAGACCTAGACATTCCCCTAGTTTGAACGGCACCAGCAGACCAACATTTATCAGCATCACCTGGATCTCTTACACCCTCAATATTACCCAAGATGAGATCATAAAGGGGATTTTTCATACAAAGTGCCTTTACGTTACCAGTGAAATAAGGAGTGTTAACAGTTGTGTTCAATCGGAACTTCCCTAACAGTAACATCAATAAGAATACACTGTTTTAGTTCGCCTGTAAAGTCAATTTCGGATACTAAGTTTCTGCGAACCACCACATCCGCTATCTCTCAGCAGACACTAATGTATCACCAATCTTTCCTTTGACTACAGGCATTCTAACAGCGTTAGAAGAGTTACAAGCAAAACTCACTTTCTCAAAGGACTGTCCAAAATTACATTGGATCTCAGGAACCTTGGCCATAAGACAACCAACAATTTCTTCTACATCAGTATCTACCTGGCAACCGGCAGACTGTGTAGGGAATTTACAATTACAGATAAAGTAACCAATTTTACCACAGTTACGGCGTTTTCTAACAATTTTACAATCCCTGGCCCGGTGACCAGGCCTATTACATTTATCTGACGGTAAATATATTGGAAGCCCCTACTATTAAATTCTGAAGTTGTTACTGAAAATTGAGTAAACTTTGGAAATTGGGACAAGGAAATCAAAACCTCCTTCTGCTAAAATAGCTTTTAATTCATCTTGCTTTAAAAGGATCAAAGATTGTGTACATTTTTGGTGGTTGAAGTCAACAAATAATATTTCTATTTTTATTTGTATGTAAAATTTTTCAGTTTGTTTTTACATTGCTTCCCGATACTTTTCCTCACAATTTTACCAATCCTTATTATCAATTTTTTTTTCTGCCTTTTCTGTTCTCACAAGCTCTTCTTTTAGTTTCCTATACTTTATTCCTCTCACTCTTTGTTTATGATTAGTTTTTTGAAAGGTTGTCTAGCTAATTGTTTTTATTTATAGTTTGAACATAATTTCTTCAGAGGGACAGAGGATCTAGGCAGTTTACATATACTACCAGGTTGTTGTGTTTACTGTCACCTGCAATTAAAGACCACTTTTGGGACCAGAGATTTTATGGTCTTTAACAGCAGCTTCAGTCTTTAAATAGCAAAAATATTATTAAAATGGTATAGGATAGACAATAATTTGGGGCTGCAGATAGGTGGTCTGTAATTGGAGGTGAACTTTCATTGGGTTTTAAGTTAGAGGGAGATCTGTAGTTTCAAATATAAATTTGGACATACGACAAAATACACACATTGATTGTGATAAATATAAATATTAATTCATAAACATTTTGAGAAAATCAAAAAGCAAATACTGAATAAAATGATAAACCACATCTAGGTGGTGTTCTAAAATTGAAAGAAAACTATTGTCAGTACCATGGTTAAAACAACAGCATCAACTCAATCTAATAAGTAAAATAAACTGTGCATGTGTACCACATTCAGCCCACTATCATGTCGGCCATGTTGACATCACGAAATTACAACAGGCAGTGGCTATTTTTACACCAGTGAATAAGCAAATTCCTAATTATGATTGGATATTCAATGGATATAATTGCCCTAACCTATTCCATACAGACAATAACATTCAGTTAGAATTAGTGATGTAAAAAATATCATTTTAGAGTAACACTTCTGATTAATTACGTCTGATGACTAGACTTTTAGGTTGGCAGTTAAAGATGCATGCCCTCTAATCACAGGGTCATGTATTCAATTCTTGTCACAATGTTACAGGATTTTTCTAACCACCAATAACAAATTCAGTCCCTAGGTCATATAATTAAACTTATGTCTGTATTGTTTGTCTTGTGAGAGGCTGCGAAATAAGTAGGGCAGTGATTACATTTGCTAATGGCAATCCTTTGCCAATTAACTAAATAATGAATTAAAAACAGAAATAATACAATCACATTCATTACTTGATTGAAACAATGAAACCAGATGAAATATTTCAAATACATTCACACATATAAATTTCTCTGTATATACATTGGTCTGTACACCGTCATAACGAAGCACAGACTGATCTAGATGCAGCCAAATTTCAAACAATTCATGAACTAAAAATATTCAGTGCTGTTTGAAACTAAAAGGAAAAACAGTTATTTTGTGTAGCATTCAACTCCAGCCATAAATTTTAAGGTTTATCAATAAGACCAACTTTATATCAGTGACAATAAACTCCATCATTATCTGGGAACAGTGAAATGTAATTTAACTCTTCCCTGATCATTATTGTAGAGAATTGGCAGTTGCTTTTGTCACATTATTGCAATTTTTTGTACAAACTACAACGGAAAACCCAAGATTTATGATTAACAGTTTGAAGCAGATACATTTGTGTAATAAAAATGCACCATGTCTTGACAAATTATAGTTTGAACTACCAAAACAACATAATAATGGTGAACTTTCAGTATTAGGCACAAGTTTTTTGAACTTTTATGCACTTGCAAAACAAGAAAATTAAGATTTAGTACAGTAAATGCTTAATACAACTACTGTGTATAACATACACATTAAGAAAATATAATAATTCACAATTTTGACCAATTAACAGAGGCTAATCCATTTTAATTCTCAGGTGAATGACTTTTGATTCTAAGCTAACAACATTGCCATTTCAGATAAACTAAGCAACAATTAGGATTCAAGCAAAAATAACAACTACCATAAGTCTGCGAGACAATACTGCATAAAAATAATTAAATAGGACGTTCGAGATGATGTATTTGTGTTAGATCAAGTGAGTATCTCCGGGTATTAATGAAGTATGGTTAAGAATATGATTTGAAGTATTTATAAAATTTAAAAAAAAAATACCTCATGATAAAATCAACACAAAAAAAATTTATAATATGCATATTCTATCATAAAAAATTAAATTAATATATTATTATAATTACCACATTCCTGTACAGGAAATAAATATATGCTATGGAATAACGTAATCTCTCACAAAGGAATGGAATAAAAACTAATATAGTAATTTAATCCAATATAAGCAAGGAGTAACTGATCAATTAATTTTAAAAGTGACATGAAAACAAAGACATATTTAGAATTTCTTAAATACAGGTCTTCCTCTAAATTATGACCCCTCAAATTAAAGACCACCAATTAAAAGCTACTATTCTGTGGTCCCAAATTAACAAATGTCTTTTATCTTTATCATTCTAATTAGACACAAAAGCTGTTAACAACCATGGAAACTCCACTCACAAACGCGATCTTAAATTCGAGGGAGACCTAATATGTTTCACTATAGTAGTTGTATATTAGTTTTAACAAAATATACAGTCTTCTGGATTTAACCCGACAACATTGTTATGTCACATAACTGATTTGTGAGCTGTCGTGACAAAATATGTCTTGTGGTAAAAAAAAATAAAAAATGAGTTATTGATATATTTAGATAGATGAATATATAAGCTTTATTTTGGTCTTTAAATCATGTTCCTAGGTTGAGTAAAACTGGAGTAAGATCATTTTAAAATTCAGATGTCTAAAAACATACTTACGAGAAAATCGTCCCTAAACATAAACAACTGATACATTTTGTGTTGGTTTTCCTATTAATTTTTAAAAATAACTTTACAAAATGTGCCTCAAAAACATAATTACCTTAGGTAAGTCAACTCGGAAATTTTGCTACTATGAAATATACACATTAAACTTATCAGAAAAATTGAAACACAATTTTTGTCAAAATATATTTTCTTGAATATATCAAATTGACCTGGCGTACCACAAGACTCACTTTGTCACAACACCTCATATTTACTATTACAGGAAAAATTAATTAAAATTCTATTATCAATTTAATGAAGAATCATCAACATTGTCAGATGAATCTAAAGTGGAATCTGTTTGTAATTGTTCACTTGATAATCTTTGTATTCTCCTCCGTCGTATCTCTTGATGGTCATGTTCCCCAGGGGTCATTTCAAATTCTGGTTCATAGTCATCGGTTATAAGTTCAGGTACAGGTTCTTCTTGTCCTCCAGTAGCACCCAATTCATTTGCTAAACATCAAATCAAAAGTGGCATATATTAGGCAAATATAATGTAATAACAACAACAGTTCAATTACGATTAAGGACATTGTGCTAAAACAGTCAATATGCTTTGCATTAGAAATAAAAATAAAAACAAAATATAAATTAAAAAGATGTGTTTTGAGTTGCCAGTTATTATTTATGTTACATCATCTATTCAATCAGTCTTATACATAGATTAAATTTTATACTGAGATGGAACCCACAATTCGAATAATAAAAACATACCATAATTACAGTATATTGTATACTTATTATAAGCCATTAAAAAAAAATAAGTGAAAACCAAAATTATTTTTCTCATGACATTAAAAATACAACTGATAATGACACCTAATAACTGGAGCATCATGTAAATGAAGGGTTACATAATGACGGATAGTGGAAATAAAATATTTTTTAAATTTACAAAAATCTGAGGGGGAACAATACAACACTAAATTTACCAGAAAATTTTCTAAAACATAGGATGATATTACCAAACAACAAAAATATTATTTTCTATTGTATAGCAAAAACAATGGTAATACGTACCATCAATTTCAGTTCCTTCATCTGGACTTGTTGCTGCTGCTGCTTCGTTATTTATACTGTCATTATTTTGCGGAGTTGTATCAGAAGTTGAAGACACTACTGGTGTTGTAACTGTAGTAGTTGATGATACAGTAGCAGTCGGAGCTGTAGTATTGCTTTCTGGTAGATTGATTCTGTAAATAGTTATTATTCATTAGTTAAATTCACAATTCTTGTAATTTTTAAACAATCCTATTTAATCACACTTTTAAATTCTCTAAAATTTCCTAAATTTTAAATAATTTTTCAAATAAAAGAAAATGTGAATATCTCATTTTTGAATTTCATTTTAAGTAGTTATTTCATCTTATGACTTAAAGTTATCTGTTTAGCCTGGTTTCCATAAAATCGCTACACTGTCGTTAGAATGTTTTCATTGCAATCGTTGCAGTCCCCGATGCAATCGGGAAGACTCCCTGATCCGACCGACGAATCAGCTGTCAGTGATAGCGTGTAGCAATTGTATGGAAACCAAGCTTTTCGGTTACCTGTTCACTAAGATGAATAAAATTATTTCAATTTAGTTTTGATTTATTTCTATTTTATTCTAACAGCAATAAATTGTTACAAGTGAATGATGAAAATAGGATTGTCCTGGTATTACATTTTTTTTCACTATCAACAGCAATTAAAATCACTAGTAAATTTGTTTATAATTCCATTTCAGTTCCTTAACTTTGCTTGAATGTGAAATGAATGGCAATTATACGTTTCTTTCATACTAGCATTTGAGATATATAATCTCATATATGTGTATAATATGTATAGATCTTTGTTCCATTAAACCATGGCCCATTAGTTATATTGGTTTTTATGTATATTTTTTTGTAAAGATGTTTAGTTTAGAAGAGCCATTTGATAGTGCTTGCAGTTTTGGCAATCCTCAGGCAATGAACATGTTGTTTGTTGTGTGTTTTGTCTTGTATTACTGAATATTGAATAAATTAAATGAAATTAGTTTAAAAAGTCATCAAATATTTCCATGAATCCTTTAAATATTCCACACTCTGGAATGTAGTTATAGTGGGTGGACGCCACCAAGCCTTGAAATTTACCTATGTTATCAACCCACCCACCTTTAAAATATCTGCCACCCATCTTAGTTTCCTACAGCTACAACCCTGTGTACTCACAAAAACCCTATAGATTTTCATTAAACATTTTTTTAAATAATAATAATATGTCAGTCTTATATAGCGCTTCATGCATAAAGCCTCTAAAGCGCTCCACATTACTACCCCGGTCATTGCATCAAACACGTATGGAACACATACTCAGATCCCTGGGGAGAATTCCATAATATTGCAGCTAGTAATCACCGCAGTTGAGTTCGAACCTACAAGGTACCCACTTGTACTCCTGGGTGGAGAGAGGCATCCGTGGTAAAGTGCCTTGCCCAAGGACACAAGCGATTTGCACAGCAAGAGTTTCGAACCCCAGACCTCAAGGTTGGAAGTCCAAGCCACAACTGATGAGCCAACTGCTTCTACCTGTCTCTTACCCTAAGCTCTGCATGACTGTTGTATACTGTTGAATTTGTATCATAGCTGCATCAAGGAATGTATGTATACTGCGCAGGCATTCGATTCTTGCTTCCATATGCGAACGTTCCGTACCCTCCATGGCTCTTAATTCTTCATCATTCAAGCCTTGAAAGTTTGGAGGGGGTCTGGGTGGCGGAACACCTTAAAGAAAACAATTAATGAAATACTCATTCATGCTAACTGAACCTGGTAAGTCTTGGGACACATTTAAATGTTAACAATATCACACACTTAATTTGCATAGCAATACTGCCTCCAATAGTCAATCAATCAATAAAAAAGTAAATAAAAAAAATAATAATAATAAAAGGTTAGGTGCTGCCTGTCATTTGCAAGAATCAATCAATCAATCAACTTTTATTTTGCATGTACATATCCACAAATATAAAAATAAAGAGAAATTGTGTGTGGGTACAAGTTAATATCTTGCGCTAATGCAACAGCAAATGCCTTTTAAAATACATCGTTGACGATTCCAGTATTGAAGCAGCAATGTATATTACAGGAATATTTTCTGATGCATAATAATTTAAGTATTTTTAAGAGCTCTATGTTATTTGACATATTTTAGTGATATACAATCAAAAATATATATCGTAGAAAATTATACTTATATAGAATTTGAAAATCATTAAGTTCAAGCTAAATGAGCAGGTAGATTTTCATGAAAATTAACAAATAAATGGAAATTAGGTCTTGAGTTCATATCTCGATTGAAACATTGTTCTAAAATATTTATCATCATCTTATCATTATCACCAGAAAGGTGTTTTTCCAAACAAAAGTTAGTATCATCTGAAGCATAATTGCCCATAGTCACTACCAATTCCATTCATTTTGGCCAAAAAAAACATCAAAGCTGGCAAACATATGATATTTGAATAAGCTGCTAAATCTACGCTATTCAGATTTACTTACCGAATGGTGGAATCATTAAAGGTGGGGGAATCATAAATGGAGGGGGCATCATTCCAGGAAACATTGGATTTCCAGGTAGCACAGTAGAAGTTGCACCAGTCTCTCCTGTCACTGTACTGGGTGTACCTAAGAAGAAATATTACATAAAATATTACCTTGAATTTCTTTCTGAAGAATATTAATTAAAAATGCTTGTATGAAAATACATGATAAAAGTCAAGAAAATAAAAGGAGTTACCTTGTGAAGTACCTGTGGTATTCTGTGGTTGTTGAGGGAAAGGCATTGCTGGCTGTGGGAATTGGCCAGGATGTGGAAACTGACCAGGCTGCATAGGGAAAAATGGGAAGCCAGGAAATGGAGGCACCATACCAGGAACTGCAAAATAAAACACAGTAAAAAGCAAAAAATAGATTAAACAAATTAAAATGACTGATAGTAAATTGGAATTGAAAATTCTTTCAACAGAAACTCTACAGATGCTAGACAAGAGTCTTCAAAAATATCATTTTGTCTGTTAGTGTTAGACACATAGTGGCATTTAAATGCACTCTTTGTGATTGCACAATGTGATCAATTATCTAAATTGAAGTGTCAGAATAAAAAACAAACTTGTTTGCAAAGACAAACAATTGCAGTGGTGTTTCTAACTTCACTGTCAAGATTTGATAAATTTTAAATAGCAAGAGTTTTTTGGCTTTGAGTATGAGATACCTTGCATGTATGATTCTCAGGTCAAAAGAGTGTAAATCCATTAGTCAAAAACAGTAAGAATATCAAGAGAATTGTAAGAGAACTTAATTGCTACTAGCTGCAACAAGACATACAAACAAAAAAAGCTTGAACCACTGAATTCTGTTGATTCAGGACGGTTGGTCCACTTTCTGTCGGGGATGCGTCAAGACTTTCTGGCAGACACTAGTGCTATACAAGATCCAATTACTATTATTATTATCATAATTGATCTTACTATTTGGATTAGGATTTTGTTGTGGCTGTGGGGTCTGTGCTTGTTGTGGTTGTGCTGCAGGCATCCGTAAAACATCCATACGACACGTTGGACAAGACTGCTGCCTCTGGAACCAGGATCGTAGGCAACTGGTGTGAAAGATGTGGTTGCACGGCAGCTTTTTACAGTTGGTGGCCATCTCCTCACGACAAATAATGCACACGTTATCACCAGCTGCAAGTTCCTCAGGGGTTGCATCTGGATATCTGGAGAAACAAATAACCACCATCACAAACCTCAGAAATTCAAATACAACTGCTCAATTAAAAGAATTACAATTCAGTTGAAAGTGTATAAGTAAATAAACTAGAAATGTTCCTTTTACGCTGTGCAGCAAAAGCACAGCCTCCCCACACTGTGATTTTCTCTGAGAATTGATGAATTAGTGAGATTGAAACCAATCAGTCTTAGCAAACTTTAGTTATAATCGTGGAAACAAAAAACAATTTTCTACACCAGTGACAATGACAATATGAAGAATATTACAATTTCAACTAAATTAGAAGTTTTTATGGGAATTATGATGGTATAAACGTAAATTTGCTCATTAATAAAATATTAATTTTGCAATTAGCATAATCACACACGCACCAAAAACAATAGGCCCTGTCTTCTTATTACCATCTTGAATTCCATAAAATTTGAAACCAATCAAACTTACCAAACTTTAGTTATAGTGTAAATTTCTTGATCAATGAAATATTATTTATGCAAATGAGCAATCAGCATATTCACACACATACCAAAACAAAAGGCTCTGTCGCTTTAACACCAAATTGCATGGTGCAAAGTTTGAAATCAATCAGACTTAGCAAACTTTAGTTATCGTGGTAACTAGTCTTGAAATTACCCGATAAGTGAAATATTATTTATGCAAATGAGCATATTCTCACATGTGCCAAAAACAATAGGCTCCGTCTTCTTATTACCAACTTGCATTCTGCCAAGTTTAAAACCAAGTGGACTTACCAAACTTTATCTTTATAACGAACAATTTACCCAACAATTTGGACAACGACGACGACAAGCATGAAGAAGAACATGGGCAAAAACAATAACCTCCACGGAGCTTCGTTCCTTTTTGGGGAGGCTTATTACTCTTGATTTAGGTGGCAGTATACTAATAATAATGAATTCACAGTTTTATAGCCATTGTAAAACAATAAACAGCTGCAAACAGTTTTCATATACATATAGATATGTTGTGAAAGTGTGAGATTAATAAACTTACATAGATCTGATTATGGTATTAGGAATGGCAAAATAATTGATAATCATTTATGAGTGATTGGACTTACAATGTGTTCATATTTCTGATTGCTCTTCTTGACAACACCACATCATTAACAGCTTTCTTGAATGATCTACAGCAAAAGAACAACAAAAGAATAATCTATCACATATTGATATACATAATGTTCTACAATCCTGGAGATTTGTATAGCGCAGTGTCCATTATTCAGCGCTCATGGAGCATTTGCCACCCAGGCTTCAAAATTAACAGAGAAAAAAGTAACATCAATTATATATTATAATGTTTATCCTATTCTGCAATTACCAGATTTTCTTTTATGTATGCATAAATGATATATTTACATGTGTATATTGGCATGTTATTGTTTGTCTAATCATGATCATCACTGCTTTATAATATCAGATTCAATAAGAGGAATTGCCATGATTTAAATCAGCATCTGCATTTCATCTGCAACATTTAAGAATGTTTGGATTATATATTTTTGGTTCAACATTTTCTAAAACCAGAATTACTACCAGACCAGTTTGATTCAAAGTTAACTTTTGTCTGTCATGAAAATGTTATAGAAACAAGTACAGATGGAAAGCAAAGAGTGTACAACATACTTGATCTAATACATTGTCTATTTAATGTCAATGTATACATCTGTATAATCAAAATATGCATTGCATGCATATATGAAATATAAAAATGTATGTGGGGTGAAACAGGTGATATCAATTGAATGCACATACCTCATTGCCAAGTACATTGGTCTAATGGCAAACAATGGGAATGTGTGCACTTTGATCATGATTGCCATGAATGCAGTGTACAATAGCACCTTGATGAAACCTAATAAAACATATCAAATCATTACACTTACTACATATATTCATCATAATGATTATTTAAACATAAACAATATGTTTTCATTAGTATAGGATTTGTTGATTAAAAAACATCCAATTCAATTGATTAGTAACATAAAAAAAAAACAATAAAATTCTCATAATTAATAATAAATAAATCTCTTCTAGATTATAATTACCTAAAGATAAACAATATGTTTTCATCAGTATAGAATTTTAATAAATAATAATAAAACACTTATTATTGAAAATTAAATTAATAGTTACTATATATGTATTCATATTAAAAACAGAGGCAATGACATTGAACATATCAATCACACATTGAGGAAGTGGAATGGATGCACGGCCACTAATAGCAGAAGTCACTTTATTAGTTAGTGGTCAATGTACAGTATATAAACTGCTAGGGAATAGGAAATAGCATTGATGTTATAATTATGATGACATCACATGTAAGAATAAATATAATTTCAGGGACGTCACCACACTGGTCGGCGGTGGAAGGGCCCGTCCAGCACTCAACACTTCCGACCAGGATTTACAGGCTCCCGACCACCACTATTCAACAGTTTACAAATTGTAACAAAATAATTAGTTTACCTAAACACAATAGACAAGCTAAATTGATAGATAAAGACAAGAAGAATACAATAAATGTTTCCGTGGTTACGTTAATTGTAACAAAATACTGCTATTCATCGCTAACTTAACAGCCTAGGTTCAGTTGAGTCATAGCGGACGTCGTGGGCCGGCATGACACTGTTGCTCTGTACACATTCAAAGGTTAAAGTTGAAATCGTGAATATTCAAGTGAGCATGGTCCGGGGCAGGAAGATTATTAAAAATTTACGAAACCTGATTTATGTTTTATTTCTTTACTTTGTTTTCATTTTGTATTTTAAGAATTCACTTTTAATAATAATTGATATATAATGTGTGTAAATGGACAAAAAATAAATAAATGAGTGCACATGAATCAGTGACATACACATTCATCGTGGTAATCGTCAAACATGTGAAATTACGGCAAACAATGCGGCTGGGTACAGTCGGATCGACGCTTTGTTGCCGGGATTTGTTCATTATTATTTTTTAATCTAAAACAAAGCATGTCAACTATTGAATTTAATAAGGCCTACAGTAAGTCTCATCTTCATCTGTTTTGTTGCATTCCTCAAATTCTGGCCTAGGCCTGGCCCTAGGCATACCTGGGCCTAGCCTAAAAAAATCGCGTCAGCTAG